GAGACCTCCCTGAGTACACCAGGCACATGAGTACTTGTGCCTCAGGGCTGTTTGAAGACTAGGGGTGGATCATGGTGAGACCCTGTTGGGGGTGCTATCTATCTCTTGTTTCTCTGTCTCCATCTCTTTCTCTGTCGTTTTGGTCATGGAAGAAATAAATAACTATATATATTTTTTACTATTCTTTCTTGTTTTTCTATGTGAATTTTAAAATTTATTTTCTTTGACATTAATAGCTTTTTTAAAAAGATTTTGTTTCCGCCTTATGGTATAAAATACCATCTGGACAGTTGGACAGATGAGCTTTGCCATTTGAGAGCAGGTGTCTTTTTGCCAAAATTAGGCCATTTTATTAGAAATTATTTCCTTACTCCCCTCTGTCCCAACCTAGGCAAGTGGCCAGCACTGTCTTTTTAGCCTTCTGTTGCTGCTCAGTCAGCTCTCTGCATGTCAGACTGTGGCTTTTTATATGCCTTTTAATCATACAGGATAACAGAGAATGCAAAATAAGCAGTATCTTATGAAAAAGCTTTGAGTTTTTTTAATACTGTAATTTAGACTTATCTATGATTTAACCACTACTCTTATCTCTTTGTTCCTCAGAAAAACATAGACCACAATATCCTTGGGTTTTCCTTTTTTTTTTTTTTTTTTTGAGAGGTTTTTGCTATAGGGCGTGTGTGCTCACCAGATAGACAGAGAAAGATAGAAAGCGAGTAATTACCCTCCGGGGTGATAGTCACTCCACAATCCCTTCTCTGTTCTACTCTCAGGATCTTGGGCATGCACGCAGATCATCTGGCGTGAGTTTAAGCCACCGGGCCCAGGATTCGAACTGCAGTTGGCTGCACGGGAGTCCAGTGACGTAGCCATTACGCTAACTGCTGGTCCCCAATATCCTTGGATATTAAGAGAGCTAGTCTAGTTAAATTGGAAGCAATTACTCTGATTATTTAAATAGTAAGCCTGACCTTTTAGGAAGCAGGTACAGGAAAGAACAAACTTTAACAGGATATGAGGGCAGAATGTTCATTTCCCTGTTCATCATCATTCTTAGACTTAGCCTTAACCCTGCTGTCTGCTGTTTGAGGATCAACACTTAAGAAAACATATACAAAATGACTATTTTGATATTCTGACTCCTATTATGACCTAGATAGATGTTATCAGAACTGAGAATTAAGGGCATGGTAAATAAGCGACTCTGGAATTTCTGTTCTTTGTGTTTACATCTGCAGTGTTTTCTGGTCCTTCTGAACTTGGTGCAGTTCTCAGCGCGATCTTAGCTAACCACATGTGCCTGTTTACATTTCAGTGAATAAAAACTGAATTTAGGGCAGCCCAAGATGTAGTGGTTAAGGCAGCTGGATCCCACATGGCTGACTGTGAGATTCCAGTCCTGGACCTAGCAGCTTAAGAAACACACTGAGTGCATGCACATGCATGCACACAATCCCCAAAAGAGGGAGAAATGGAGAAGGAATTACAGTGGGATATGCCCCTTGGGAGGTACATTCTCTCCCTCTCTGATGAGTGCATGTGCTCTCTGACAAACCAAAAAAAATTGAAAAAAAATTAAATTTAAAGATCAGTTCTTCAGGGACCAGCAGGTGGCGTGGTGGTTAAGGTGCTGGTTGCTCCCACATGGCCAACCACGGTTTGAGTCTGGGACTGGTGGCTGCCTTTCTCACTTTCCCTCTCTCTCTTTCCTCCTCTGTGTCCTCTCTGGTCAAAAAAATAAATAAAAAAGAAAAGAAAAAAAAATCAGTTCTTCATTTGTCTGAGGTAATATACTGTAACACCACACACGGATTAGTGAATGCTTGTGTTAGTGCAGAATGAACATTCTGTCATTGTAGGAGATTTTATGAGATAGCACTGCTCAAATGTCCTGGCCTGCCCTCTTCTGAGTAACTTGTTTTCTAATTTAGAGGGAAAATTGTGATTGTTCTCCTGCTGCTGTGTTCATGTTTTTCTTGGTTCAGTGGAGTATTGGTCTTATTTATAAAATTTATGCCTTTATCTTGCTTCCTTTAGGACTTTTTCTCCATTTGTTTTCTCTCTAGCATCCTCATTTCTGTGAAGTTAGAGCAGAGGAGGTGAACTAACTGTTTGACTGCTCCTTAGATGTGGGGCATTTCTTTGACACACCTACATGCCTTTGGAGGTGTTCATTATTAACTCTGTTTTTAGCTTTCCATACTTGAAACCTGTTTTGTTTCATTTCACTACAGATTTGTTCTTTTTGTTGTTGTTGTTAGAGTTTTTTGTTTGTTTGTTTGTTTGTTTTGTTTTTGAGAGGTTTTTGCTATAAGGAGCGAGCATTCGCCAGAGAGACAGAAAGCGAGAAATCACCCCCCCTGGGGGGATGGCCACGCCGCAATCCCTTCTCCTTCATTCTCCTCTCGGGATCTTGGGCACGCACACACACATGCCCAGCGTGAGTTTAAGCTACCAGGTCCAGGACTTGAACTGTGGTTGACTACATGGGAGTCCAGCGACATAGCCATTACACCAACTGTTGGTCCCCTGGTTAGAGATTTTTTAACTCTTCTTTTTTAAAATTTTTAAAAATTATTTTAATTGGGACCAGCAGTTAGCGTAATGGCTATGTTGTTGGACTCCCATGTAGTTGACCGTGGTTCATGTCCTGGACCCGGTGGCTTAAAACTCATGCCGGGCGCATGTGCGTGCATGCCCAAGATCCCAAGAGGAGAATGGAGGAGAAGGGATTGCGGCGTGGCCATCCCCCCGGGGAGTGATTTCTTGCTTTCTGTCTCTCTGTCTCTCTGTCTCTGTCTGGCGAGCGTACGCGCCCTATAGCAAAAACCTCTCCAAAAAAAATTATTTTGATTACATTAGTTCATTAGTTATTAAGTTAGTTTGTTTGTTTATTATTTATATTTGACCAGAGAGGGACAGAGTGAGAGAGAGAAAGTGAGAAAGCAAGCTACCAGGTCTGAGACTTGAACCACAGTCGGCGATGTGGGAGTCCAGCACCCTTAACCACCATGCCACCTGCCTACCCTCCCACCCCCCTTATTGTTTTTTTTGTAGAGGATTTTGCCTTAGGTTGCATGGACTCTCTGAGAGAGAGAGACAGAGACAGTGAGAGGGAAAGTAAGAAGTTACCCCCTGGGGATGGCACAATCCCTTTTCTTCCATTCTCCTTCCAGGATCTTGGGCACATGCCTCATGAGGTTCAAGCCACTGTATCCTGGATTCGTGCTGTGGTCAGCCATGTGCAAGTCCAGTGATGTAAATGTTACGCCATTTGCAGGCCCTGATACGTTCATTGTTAAGGGGATTAGATTCATGTTACTCAAAGTCAATATGGTAAACTAATAATAGACTGAAAGATTTATCAGGATGTCATATTACTCATTAATAATAGGAAAATAACTGATAAGAAGACCACTTGTTATTGTCAGCTGGTCTGCATAGTTTTTCTGTAAATTATTTAAATTATATTCGAGGGTTTTGGGGTGCCGATTTGACTTCAATGAGGGGATTTACTTGGATTATCTTGTGTTGTTTTTTTTTTTTTTTGAAAAGAAAGTTTTAAAATTTTATTTAATTAGTTAATTTATTTACTTTAATTTGATTAGAGAGGGACAGAGAGAGAGAAAGGTAAAGTGACAAAGCAAGCCTCCAGGTCTAGGATTTAAACTGCGGCCAACCATGTGGGAGCCCAGTGCCCTTAACCACTATCCTACATGCTGGTCCCTAATTAGATTATCTTAATATCCTCTTTCTCTTTGAAAGTCTGTCTTTAGAATCAATTTCTGTCTTTAAGTGGACCTACTACCAGGCAGGCTAATACTACTTCTTAGACATGCTTCCTGCCATTCTTCCCCCATCCCTACCTCTTCTAGCCTTTCAGAGATATGTTTCCTTTCTAATGACTTTTTTAAAGTAAGTATTTAATTTTATTTGTTATTATTATAATTAATTTGCTATAGGGGATGTGTGCTCACCAGAGAGAAAGAAAGTAAGAAAGCAAGCCATGAGGTCCAGGACTCAAACTATAGTTGAGTTCAGCTACTCAACCACCATGCCACCTACTGACCCGCTATTGACTTTTTTTGATCTTTGTACAAATTACAGATTTCTGTTGTTTCTACAACAGGTTTCTATGAGGGTTTTTTAATTCTGTAAATCCCAAATCTACATCTCTATAGCTGATACTTTCCCCAAACTCTCATTCTACTTTCATGTTACAGAAACATCTTAAGTACATAAGCATTGCTGTTGAAGTATTTCCTTGTGACTCCTCGAATTAAAGATAATAAAACTGGAGTTCTTTGTTCCCCCTATTCTCTATAGAAACCATCAGAACTATTGGGTTGTTGAGAAAGTCATGATGCAGTTTTTGCATTGTAAAATGTCATGACTTTCCTGACAACCTAATATATAACCTTTTTGCTTTCTTTTTCTCCTAATGCTTATTTATTTCTTCTGTGAGTGAGAGAGACAGAGAAAAACAGCATCCCAGTAAGGTCTTGATGTCACAGTTCACTCTCGGCTTCAGCCAACCCCAGTTCTTGGCAGACAGGAGCTCAGCATATTTAGGAAGGTGTCTCAGTGTGAGCCCAGAACTTTCCCATTTGGGTCAGCCTCACAGGGCATTGCATTTTACCACTGTGGCAATGTCCAGTCCCCTTTCAGTTTCTTTTATCACCGTTTAATCCTCCTCTGTTTATAAAATCTCTTCCTACCTTCTCCACAATTTTTCAGTCATCAAGTCATCTTGCTTTTTTCTTTAACACAGTAACTCTTTTTCTTCATAGTACTTCCTTTTGTCCTACTTTAGTAATCTCCAAATTCTTCTCTTCTGTACCCTATTTTGTCGTCTTGGTAGAGGAACTTTGGTATATGTATGTTTGCAGCTGAAGCAGTTAAGTCATTGTTTTGTGATAATATAGTCTTATTAGCACATTGAGCTACCTTAGTTGTAATATTTTAATAATTTATTTATGTGAACTCTATTTAATTTTTAGTGTGATGAACAAGTCTGGAGTGAATCGTGTAGTTTGGAAACGACCTCGGCTCACTCACAATGGACCTGTTAGAAGGAGCACAGTTATTGACCAGATTCCTTTTCTGGCTGTAGCAAGAGCACTTGGTAAGTAGGACTTACATTTGATGAAAACCTATCAGATTTCCTTCCTTCCTTCATGAGTACACATGCCCTCTGGCAATAAAAAGGAAAAAAAAAAGATCATTTTACATCCTATGTGCTCTCTCTTACTGATCTTTAATGGTCAAATGTACATAAACCTAACCATAGGGTCTATAACCTAGTTGGACTAATAGATAACAAACAAACAAGAAAAACACCTTAAAATTATCACAAAGAAATTAAACAAGGTGATGTGATAGTAATGGGTAGGAAAATAGTCAGTGACTAAAGAATGCTACTTTAGAGATCAACAAGGATCACCCTCAAAGGAGGTGATATTTGAGTAATGCCTGAAGATGAAGGGACCAAGGAAAAAAGCAGTCAAAATAGAGTCATAGGTATACAAAGGCATTTAGTGGCCATTTGATTTTGGGTGTGCATGGGTGGGGGATTTTCTCTTTCTATTAAATAAAAGCCTGGTATTTTTTCTTTTGGAAATTGTATTTCTCTTACCATGTAGTTTCAGTTTAAACATTTCTACTTAGGATCTTTTTATAAAGCATATAGAAGATCAGGCTTACAATAATCACAGGTAGGTCACTGACATTCTCTATTTTGGGATTATGGATTTTGAATCTAGAAAAGGGACAAACTTTTTTTCCCCCCTGCCAAAGGGCACATGTGCTCAACAGAGGGAATCAGAGAAAGAGGGAGAGGGCGAAAGTACTCACCAAAGGGGCATGATTATGGGGCACGGTCATGCAACAGTCTCTTCTCCTCCATTTCTCCACTCTGTTGGGATTTTGATGATGCATGCACATGTACCTAGAGTGTTTTTCCAGCCACTGGGACCAGGATTTGAACCATGTGGTTAGCTATGTGGTATTTGTCTCCCTTAACCACCAGGCAACAGGGCCAGCCTTTGGATGAACATTTTAAAAATCGTGTACAGGGGCTAGCTTGTGGTGTGGTGTTTAAAGCATCTGGATTCCCACATGGCCAGCTGTGCCACTTGAGTCCTGGCACTGGGAAGCTTGAAAAACACACAGGGTTGGGACCAGCGGATAGCGTAATGGTTATGTCACTGGTCTCCTATATAGTTGACCGAGGTTTGAGTCCTGGACCTGGTGGCTTAAACTCACACCGGGCGCACGTGTGTGTGTGTGTGTGTGTGTGTGTGTGTGTGTGCGCGCGCGCGCACGCTCAAGATTCTGAGGGGAGAGTGGAGGATAAGAGATTGCGGAATGGCTATCCCCCCCGGGGGGTGTTATCTCGCTTTCTGTCTCTCTCTGTCTTTGGCTAGGGCACGTGCCCTCTAGAAAAAACCTCTCCGAAAAAAAAAAAAAGAAAAGAAAAAGAAAAACATAGGGTACATGTATGCTCAAAATTCCAGGAAGAAAATGGAGGAGAAGGGATTGTGGTGTGGCCATCCTTCCTGGGGAGTGATTTCTCAGTTTTTCTCTCCTGCTCTTGGTCAAGTACATACTTTCAAAACTGAAAAAAAAAGAAAAGTCACTTATAGTGAATTGACCTTAGGGATATTGGCCTACTACTGTGGCCCCTCATTGATATGGTTGAGTTTTCTTTCCTGGTTGCTTGGCACTTGCCTTGTTTCCATACTAGATTCTATAGCTTTTCTACTCTTTTAGCTACTTGATTATCTTCTAAATTGCCTTTTTGATCTAAGTTAACCTGGGCTAGAAATTATTGTTTGCAAGCAAAGAATCTACTACAGGAAGGAAAGGTTTTGGTATCTTTAAGGAACAAGAGGCCAGTGTGAGAGAGGTAAAGACATAAAATGAGGGTGGACGGGACCAGCAGTTGGTATAATGGCTATGTCGCTGGACTCCCATGTAGTCGAGCGTGGTTCGAGTCCCAGACCTGATGGCTTAAATTCACATAGGGTGGCATGTGTGCCCAGGATCCCGAGAGGAGAATGGAGGAGAAGGGATTGCAGTGTGGCCTTACCCCCTGGGAGGGTGGTTTCTTGCCTTCTGTCTCTCAGTCTTTCTGGTGAGGTCACACGCCCTACAGCAAAAAACACCTAAAAAAAAAAAAAAGAATTAAAGGAATGAGGGTGGAGGCAGGTGTTGTGGAGGTTAAGACACTGGATCCCACATGACCTACTCTGTGGTTCGAGTGCTGAACCTGGTGGCTTCAAAAACACACAGGGCCCATGTGCAAGTATGCATAAAATCCCAAGAGAGGAATGGAAGAGAAGGGATTGCCGTGTGGTTATCCTCTGAGGGTGATTTCTCACTCTCTTGTTTCTTCTGACTCTTTCTTTCTGGTGATGGCATATGCCCCATAGCAAAACTAAAAAAATTTAAAAATAAATAAATAAAATGAATGGGGAAATGAGGACACTTAGCTGATTAAGAAGGATTGTGGGGACCAGCAGATGGCTTAATAGGTATGGTGGACTCCCACAGAGTCATCTGTGCTCCCAGTCTTGAATCCGGTGGCTTAAAACTCACGCCGTGTACATGTACATGCATTCTCAACATATTGAGAGGAGAATAGAGGAGAAGGGTTTGTAGTGTGGCCATCCTCCCGGAGGATGATTTCTCACTTTCTGTCTGTCTTGTGAGTGCACGCAGCCTGTAGCCAATGGGATAAAAGCAGTTAGTGAGCCTAACCCATGATCAATTGACACAACCCCTGTTAAGGAATTATAGACCCCCATGGAAGTGATACCAGGGCTCTCTCACTCTCCGTTCACTCCTCACTCTTAAGAGTATACTTACACTTTTACTTAATGAACTATCATTTGTTTTCAGTATTAGTGTGTTTCATTCAATTCTTCATTTAAAACACCAACAACCTGGGTATCACCAAGCCATGTTGCAACACTCACTAGCAACGCTATCTTAGTCCGTTTTGTGCTGCTATACATAATACTGGGTAATTTATAATGAACAAAATTTATTGGCTCACAATTTTTAAAATTGCAAAATCCAGTATCTTAAGTGCCAACATCTATCTGGCTAGGGCCTCTTCCTCTGTCATTTCATGATGGAAGGCAAGGATAGAAGGTGAGAAAGCAGAAGAAGAGGAGGTCAAATTTACCCCCTTTATGTAAGAGTACCAATTCCAGCTATGAGCAACCATACCCTCTAGTAAATTTTATTTTTTTTTTTTTGGAGAGGTTTTTGCTACAGGGCGCATGTGCTCGCCAGACAGACAGAGAGAGACATAGAGACAGAAAGTGAGAAATCACCCCCTGGGAGGATGGTCACGCCGCAATCCCTTCTCGTCCATTCTCCTCTCGGGATCTTGGGCACGCATGCACACGTGCCCGGCGTGAGTTTTAAGCCACCAGGTCCGGGACACGAACCGCAGTCGACTATGTGGGAGTCCAGCAACATAGCCATTACGCTAACTGCTGGTTCCCTCTAGTAAATTTTTAAAAAAGATTCTTGACACATTAGAAATGCTTCAGAAATGTTACCTATCTTTTCAAAATAATGTTTATGTATTTAATTATATTTGTTATTACTTTTTAAAATTTGACCAAAGAGAGAGAAAGGGAAAGTGAGAAAGCAAGCCGCCAGGTCCAGGACTCAAACTGCAGTCGGCCATGTGGAAGACCGACGCCCTTAACCACCACACCACCTGCTGGCCCTGATCCAGTTTTTGTTTTTGTTTTTGTTTTTGTTTTTAAATATTATTTTTATTTAACTTTATATTATTATTATTGTTTTCCAGTTTTATTAGAGAGAGAGACGGAAAGTAAGAAAAGCTACCAGGTCTGGGACTCAAACCATGGTCATCCATGGAGGAGTTCAGTGCTTTTAAACCATCATGCCACCTGCCAGCCCTGATCCAGTTTGTTTTTAAAGGATCATTTTAAGGCTAGCGTATGGCTGAAATTGTAGCAAAATAAAATTGTAGCCCACGATATTATTTGAGGACCTGTTGCAGTATTGTAAATAATTTACATATTTCATAGATTTTTTTGTGTGTGTGCCTAGAAGGTTGTTACACAGATTATTCCTTCATAGTATAGACATGTGCTACAGTTGATCTTCTAGTTGTTTGCAAGGAAAAAGGGAGTTTGGGATGTGTCTTGCAAGGTTCGTCCTTGAAAGAGTAGGTCCAACTGAGACATTGGAAATTAGAAAAAGATGTAAGGGGGACCAGCAGTTGGCATAATGACTATGTTGCTGGACTCCCACGTAGTCGACCGCTGTTCGAGTCCCGGACCCGGTGGCTTAAACTCACGCCAGGTGCATATGCCTGCTTGCCCAAGATCCAGAGAGGAGAATGGAGGAGAAGGGATTGTGGACATGGCCATTCCCCTCGGGGGGTGATTTCTGTTGCTTTCTGTCTTTTTGGTGAGTGCACTTGCCCTATAGCAAAAACCTCCCCCAAAATACATACATACATACTTATATACATATATGCATTTAAAAAAAAAAGTACAAGGCACAGCTGACATGTTGTTTATTGACCGAGTTCAGGGGGATCTCACAGAGTTCATTCTCTCCCAAGCTTGCCTTCCGCCTTGGAATTTGTAATGGGCTCTAAGACTACTCACCAAGCACTTCCTCCCTCTTTGAGCTCACAGGGCCCGAGCCACAGCCTAGTGCAACCAAGACCAAGCAGGGCAGAGCCAAGGCCTAGCTGAGCAGGGCTGTTCTGACTGTCCAGGTTGAAGTACAGTGGAAATGTTTAGTTCCTATTACCTGAGCATTATACTTCTACTAATGGAATCCCGGAGTCCTGATCGTCATTAGCTTATAATAGTCATATTGGCCAATTAAGCTCAGCTCTCCAGATATTTTTCTTATAAACTGCTTCAAGATTATGTCTCTGCTACATATCCTGTTGGTTTTTACTAGGGTGGTGTGAGGACGAGGGCATTGAGAGTGGATAATAAAAGGATTAAATAAGTTCCTCGAAGAATATCTTTGTATTGAATAATAGATTGGTATGTGGATCCGGCAGATGGCATACTGGTTAGGATGGTGGACTCCCATGTGGGCAAACGTGGTTTGAGTTCCAGACCTGATGGGATCTTGGGATCTTAGGCACACATGGAGTAGAAGGGATTGTGACATGGCCACCCCCCTGGTGAGTGATTTCTTGCTTTCTGTCTCTCTCTGTCGAGTGTATGTACCCTATAGCAAAAAAAAATCTCTCTTAAAAAATTATTTATGGGACCAGCAGTTAGCATAATGGCTATGTTGCTGAACTCCCATGTAGTCGACCGTGGTTTGAGTCCCAGACCTGGTGGCTTAAACTCATGCCAGGCGCTCGTGTGTCTGTGCCCAAGATCCCGAGAGGGACCAGCAGTTGGCATAATGGCTGTGTTGCTGGACTTCCATGTAGTCAACCACGGTTCGAGTCCTGGACCTGTTGGCTTAAACTCATGCCAGGCATATATGTGTGCATGCCCAAGATCCCAAGAGGAGAATGGAGGAGGGTTGGCCATCCCCCCGCTGGGGGGGGGGTGATTTCTTGCTTTCTGTCTCTGTCTTTCTGGTGAGCACACGTGCCCTAACAGCAAAAACCTCTCAAAAAAAAGTATTTTACTTTGTTTGTTACTATTATTTATTTTTTAATTTGGCCAGAGAGTGAAAGAAAGGAAAAGTGAGAAGGCAAGTTGCCAGGACCAGGACTCAAATCACTTCTGTCCATGTGGGAGTCTAGCGCTAGATTAAGCACCACTCCACCTGCCATCCCCATTTATTTCTTGTTATAGAAAGATTTTTCCTATGAGGTGCGTGCGCTTGCCAAAGAGACACAGAGAGACAGACAGAAAGCAAGAAATCACCCCCTAGGGGGCATGGCCATGCTGCAACCCCTTCTCCATTCTCTTCTCGGGATCTTGAGCATGCATGCTCATGAGCCCAGTGTGAGTTGTAAGCCACTGGGTCTGGGACTCGAACTACAGTTGACTGTGTGGGAGTCCAGCAACATAACTATTATGCCATCTGCTGGTCCCATCACAGACTACTTCTTAGTTGGAAGAAAGGAAAAATAGCAGTTAGACAGTAGAGAAATTAGACAATACTTTGGATGATAAAATTATTCTTATTAATGAGTGCTAGTTTAACATTATGTGCTTCTGCCCATGGTAATTAAGGCTCTGGATTCTTACATGACTGACCACAGTTGGAGGCCTAGACTTGGCGGCTTGAAAATCATGCTGGTGGGAACCAGCAGTTAGCGTAATGGCTATGTCGCTGGACTCCCACGTAGTCGACCACAGTTCGTGTCCCGGACCCGGTGGCTTAAAACTCACGCCGGGCACGTGTGCGTGCGTGCCCAAGATCCCAAGAGGAGAATGGAGGAGAAGGGATTGCGGCGTGACCATCCCCCCTGGGGGGTGATTTCTCGCTTTCTGTCTCTATGTCTCTCTCTGTCTGTCTGGTGAGCGCATGCGTCCTATAGCGAAAACCTCTCAAAAAAAAAAAAAAAATCATGCTGGCTGCATGTGCGTGGGTGCCCAAAATCTTAGGAGAATGAAGGATCAGGGATTGCGGTTTGACCACTGCTGCGGGCGTGATTCCTATTTTCTTTCTCTCTCTCTCTCCAGTGAGCACATAGGCCCTGTGGTAAAACCTGTAAATTTTTTTTTAATTTGCAGGTTTGAGCAAAAGGATTAGAAAAATACATTAGGCATGTTTGCATTTGTACCCCAAACCCTGTCAGGATGGAGATGGAGAAGAAATTGTGGTGTGACAATCCCCAAGGGGAGGGTGCTTTCTTGTTTTATTTCTCTCTCCAGTCAATGCACCAGTCCTCTGGAATATAAAAAGTAAAAATAAATAAAAAGACTAAAATTTTTAAATGGTATCTTTTCCATATATTACTGTTGCTTAGAAATATAGTAGACTTTTGGGGCCCGCAGGTGGCATGGTGGTTAAAGCACTGGACTCCCACATAGTTGACCATAGTTCAAACCATGGACCTAGAGGCTTGCTTTCTCACTTTCTCTTTCTCTCTCTCTTTTTAAAGAATTATTTTATTTAACTTTATGTATGTATGTATATATTTATACTTGACCAGAAAGGGACAGAGTGTGAGAGAGAGAGGGAAAGTGAGAAAGCAACCTTCCAGGTCCGGGAATTGAACCGTGGTTACTGGAGTCTAGTGCTCTTAACCACCATGCCACCTGCTGGCCCCCCTCTCTCTCTTTCTCTGGTGAACATGCAAGCCCTACACCAAATGAAGTAATAATAAATAATTATTTTAAAAAAGAAATATAGTTGACTTTCATATATTGCTTTTGTATTTGATAACCCTGTTTAAAAATGTACCATTAATTCTAATAATTTATCTAATTTATCTTTGATTTTCCATGTAGAAATGAAGTTATCTGCAAGTAATGGTAGTTTTTCTCCATTACAATTATTTATTTATTTATTTATTATCTTACTCTGCTAAGTAGGACCTGCAGTACAGTATCGGCTGAGAAGTGATGATACCTGGCATAGTTTTCTTATTCCCTTTTTTTTTTTTTTTTTTTTTTTTTAATGGGGGGGCAGGGTCCCAGGGTGCATGTGCTCACCAGAGCGGAGGGGAAGAATGAGAAATCACCCTTTGGGGGGGTATGGCCATGACACAATCCCCTCTCCTCCATTTCTTTTTTAAGATTTTTGGGCATGCACACACCCACACCTGGCATGATTTTCAGGCCACTGGGCCTGGGACTCAAACCGTGGAATTAGCCATGTGGGATCCTGCCCCCTTAACCTCCATTCCACCTGTTGGCCCTTTATTCCCTCATTTTAAAGGGAATACTTTTAACATTTAAGTTTTTACCTTTAAGTAAGATGTTTGCTATAGGTTTCTTGTGGGTATTCTTTATCAATTTAAGGGAGCACCCTCCCACCCCCTTTAAATTTTCTGTAGGGCATGTGTGCTGGCTGGGGAGGGAGGGAGGAAAGGGGAGAGAGCACCCAAGCAAGCGATCGTCCTGTGGGAGGTGGGTATGATGTAATCCCTTCTCTATTCTCCTCTCAGGATTTTGGGAACGCACACATGTGCCTAGCATGTTTTCAAGCTGCAGAGTCCAAGACTCAACTGTGCAGTTGGCCATATGGGATCCAGCTGCCTTAACTACCATGCCACTGACTGGCTCAAGAGAGTTGCCCTTTTTTTCTTAGCTTGCTAGACATTTTTATTCTGGGTGCATTTTGAACGTTACCAGATTTTTTTGTGTGTCTATTATATGAACATGTGGATTTTTCCTTTAATCTTTTTCTCTAAGTTTCTTTTTTCTTCTGTAAATCAGAGAGGGTTCTGATACCACATTCCAACCCCAGCCTTCAGCCAGCTACAGATCATGGGTGAGCTCTTGCTTGGTGTATTCAAGAATGGGTCTGGACTTGAACTAAGAACTGTCCCATCTGGGATTTCCTTTCAGAGCATTGCATTTTACCACGTTGACACTATCTGGCCCCTCCTTTAAACTTTTGATGTGATTCTGTTAGCTTGGAAATAATAACTTCCTGCATCTTCTGCTTCCTTCCCCTAGGTGATTTGTGGAGCTATGATTTCTTCAGTGGTGAGTTTGTGGTATCACCTGAACCAGATACAAGTGTCCACACTCTTGACCCCCAGAAGCATAAGTATATTATTTTGGGGAGTGATGGACTTTGGAATATGATTCCACCTCAAGATGCCATCTCGATGTGTCAGGACCAAGAGGAGAAAAAATATTTGATGGTAAGTGAATTAATGTGGCTGGCAGGTGTTGTGGTGGTTCAGGGTGCTGCTGTATTCCCACATGGCTAACTACGGTTCAAGTCCTGGACTTTGCGGCTTGCTTTCTTACTTTCGCTCTCTGTCCCACTATGGTCAAATTTAAGTAAATAAATAAAAAATTAATTAATAACGATATTTTTGTCTGAACGTTGTTTTGGTAGTACCTTTGTTAGAGTTATATTTAAGGATGATCACCTTGGGTAGATTTTTGCATTGCCGGGCCTCCTACTAGGTAGAATATAGCCTTTGCAGCTCTTAATCAATCATTTGGGGAATGAGACAGAAAACAGGCAACTACTGACTTTAGTATGAACAGCCCTTGACTTACTGGCCTGTAAAACCTTGCCAGTCCTTTTTTTTTCAGTTGAGATATATTGGCCCAGCCATGGTAGAATGAGCTGGACACTGCTATTTTGGTAGGCTGGAGCTGTATGGGAAGCTTTATCTTTAAAGACCCCTTGAATTGGCCTATTTTTGATATTTCTCATAAAAATAATCATACAATTAATAAGTGACCTTTTATATCTGGCATCTTTCATTTTCCATGTTTAAGGTTCTTCCATATTGTTAGTTTTATCAGTACTTAATTCCTTTTTTTATGATAGAATAGTCTTCCACTGATGGATATTCCACTTTTTATTTATTGACACATTCATCAGTTGATGGCTGTTTTGGTAGTTTCTACTCTGTGGCCATTGTAAGTTATAACTGCTCTTAAAAGTCATGCATATTGTCCCCAAAATCCCAAGAGGAGAATGGAGGAGAAGGGATTGCAGCGTGGTCATCCTCTGGGGGTGATTTTTCACTCCACCTCTTTCTCTCTCTCTTTCTCCAGCGAGCCTATGTACCCTGTAGAAAAAAACTTTTTTTTTTTTTTTGGAGAGGTTTTTGCTATAGGGCATGTGCATTCACCAGAAAAACAGAGAGACAGAAAGCGAGAAATCATCCTCTGGGGGGATTGCTTCTCCTCTATTCTTCTCTCAGGATCTTGGGCATGCATGCACACACGCCTGGCATGAGTTGAAGCCACCAAGTCCAGGACCTAAACCATGGTCGACTACATGGGAGTCCAGCGATGTAGCCAGTATGTCATCTGCTAGTCCCAAAACCTTTTATTTAAAAAAAAAAAGGAAGAACCAGTATATGGTGTAATGATTATGTAGCTGGACTCCCACATAGTTGACTGCAGTTTCAATTCCAGACACGGCAGCTTTAAACTCATGCTAGGCACATGGGTGTGCATGCCCCAAATCCCAAGAGGAGAGTGGAGGAGAAGGGATTGCAGTGTGGTCATCCTCCCTGAGGGGGTCATTTGTCGCTTTCTGTCTCTCTGGTGAGTTCATGCTCCCTGTAGCAAAGATTTCTCTTAAAAAAAAAAAAAAAAGTCATGCACACTTTTCTGTGTAGACGTATGTCTTTAATTCTCTTAGGTATGTACCTAGAAGTGGAATTGCTAGGTTATATGGTAACTCTTGTTTCCTGTTTTTTGTTTTTTTTTTTTAAATCAGTTGCATACCTAGCAACAATCAGCAGTAGGGAAATCCTTTTTCTTTTTTCCTTACCCACTTGGACATGGTCTTCTTCTTCATTCTAAGCAGTGACAAAGGAACACTCAAAGAATACAGTGTCACTGAAGGCAAGAAAGAATTTTGGAGTAATAGCCATGTCAGATGCAAACAGAGGCAGATGGATGGCAGGATATTGGCTTTGACAATTGAGTCTTTTATTAGTGAGCCTCAGGATGAAAAGTTTTGGTGGGAATGGTGAGGGCATTACACAGACTGTAAGAGTACTTTGTGAAGGACCAGCAGATGGCGTAATGATTACATCACTGGACTCCCATGTAGTTGACTGTGGTTAGAGTCCTGGACTTGGCAGATTAAACTCACACTGGGTGCTTCTGTGTATATATCCAAAATCCCAAGAGGAGAAGGGATTGCAGCTTGGTCATCCCTCTTGGGAAGGAGGGTTGATTTCTTGCCTTCTGTCTCTCTGTCTCTCTGGATGAGCACATGCACCCTACAGCAAAAATCTCTCTTAAGAAAAAAGAAAAGGTTTGTGTGGGTCTTAAAAGTAGTTTTGTAGTCTTGAGAGAAAGATTAACAGTTCACGAAAAATAAAGATTGATGGGATGGAGGTCAGAAATATATAGAAGTATCTGGAATCAAAGGCACAAGGAAATGGGTTATTTATCTTTGGAATGGTTGATCTTTCTCTTAGATGAGAGGAAGGGTAAGTTAAGTATATTTTGAGTAAAAAGGTATAATACTAGGTTGGTGCAAAAGCAATCATAGTTTTGGACTGTAAATTTAATTCATTATAACTAGGCTCAAACACATCTTTATTAATCAAAATAGGAAGCCTTACAACCAACCCATCTTTGCCAATGAGAAATAAGTTTGTTTATTATCGCAGCATAAAAATCCATGTTTTGGGATTCAGCAGACTCTTGGAAAGCGTCTTCTGCATCCTGCTGGTTGTGTAAGTGTTTTCCCAGCAAAAAGTTGTTAAGATGTTTAAGGAAGTGATGGTTGGTTGGTGAGAGGTCAGGTGAACATTGTGGATGAGGCAAAACCTGGTAACCAGACTTGTTCATCTTCTAAAGTATTGGTTGTGCAATGTGCTTTCATGCATTGCCTTGGAGAAGAATCGGGTCCTTTGTGTTGACCAGTGCTGGCTGTAGGTGTAAACTTCTTAGATGTAATGGTTTCACCAGGATTTAAAAAGCTGCAGTGGATAAGGCCCCACCAAACAGTGAGCATCCCTTTTTTTGTTGCAAGTTTGGTCCAAAGTACCACTGAGCTGGTCATCCCTGGTTGTTGGATTAAATCCACTTTTTGTCACATGCCACAATCCAATTGAGAAATGTTTTGTTGTTGTTGGTCGAATAAGAGCAGACAACACTCCAAATGATTTTGAATATTTCAGCCAGCTTCCGAGGCACCCACTTACTAAGCTGTGTCACATTGCCAATTTACTTCAAATGCCAAATCACAGACCATAGAATGGTAAGTGTTGAATTCTTTGCAACTCATGTAGTTAATTGTAGGAGGATCAGCTTTGATAATTTCTCTCAATTGGTCATTGTTAATTTCCGATGGTCACCCAGTACACTTTCAGTTTAAAAGCTCTCGTCTCATTCACAAAACTTCTTGAACCACCATGGCACTGTATGTTCATTATCAGCAAAAATCTGCAGTGGGTGAATGAATCTGCAGTTCATTATCAGTTCCAAGGGCAAATGCGTCATCAATGGGAGTTGTCTCCGCTGCCTCTTTGTGACCCATTTTGACTCGAAAAAGAAAATCGCTCAAATTTGCTTTTTGTTTAACATCATTTCCAGAGTCTGAGATTCATATTAAATAAGCAGCAAGTAATAAGTCATTAGCAAAAAAAACCGCCCAAGAAATGCACATTAAAATGATGTATAATGTAACTATATTTATTTAAGAATGTATCCAATAGTGGCCGGCAGGTGGCGTGGGGGTTAAGGGCACTGGACTCCCACATGGCTGACCATGGTTTGAGTCCCACACCTGGTGACTTGCTTTCTTATTACCTTTCTCTCTCTCTCTCTCATTCTGTTCCTCTCTGGTAAAAATAAAATTAAATAAATAAATAAATAAATAATAAAGTTAAATAGAATAATTTTTTTTTAAAAGAATGTATCCAGGACCAGCAGGTGGCTTGGTGGTTAAGGTGCTGAACACTCCCACATAGCCTACCATGGTTCAAGTCCCGGACCTGGTAGCTTGCTTTCTCACTTTCCCTCTCTCTCCCTTTGTCACTCTGTGTGTGTATGTATCTCTTTCTCTGGTCAAATTAAAATAAATGAATGAATAAATAAAATTGAATCAATAATTCTTTTTTTTTGAAGGAGAGAGGTTTTCTTTTTGCTATAAGGTGTATGCACTTACCAGAGAGACGGAAAGCGAGAAATCACCACCCAGGGAGATTGCCATGCTGTAATCCCTTCTCTTCCATTCTCTCGGGATCTTGGGCACGCACGCACACATGCCCAATATGAGTTTAAGCCACCGGGTCTGGGACTTGAACCACGGTCAACTACATGGGAGTCCAGCAACATAGCCATTACACTAACTGCTTGTCCCAAAACTGCAGTTACTTTTGCACCAACCCAATAACTGTCAATCCCAGTAGAGTAGATCAGGGTAAGAGTCATCTTGATTCATTTTTCATTTGGTCAGTGATTGTCAGATTTCAAAGAAAAATTAAACAACATAAAGATTGGGACCAGCAGTTGGCGTAATGGCTATGTTGCTGGACTCCCATGTAGTTGACTGCAGTTCAAGTCCTGGACCTGGTGGCTTAA